GCTTCGTCCTCCTCGCACTCGAGACGCTGTCGCAACCGCTTCACACGTGTACCTGCACAATCGACTTCCCTGCCCATCGCGCACGCCAGCATGGCTCCCTTCAATGCGTCTGCGCACACACGAGCACGCATCCTGCCGAATTCTTACCAATTTCTCACGCTGCTCCGAACCCGACCTTGGCTCGTCTCCCTCCTCCCCCTGCCGCAGAACCGCCTGCCGTCCACCGTTGCCGCCACTGCCCACGCACATTGCTCGTATGTTCCTTTCCCCACCCAGCCGCAGCTCCGTCACAACGTCTCACGCCCCCTCACCACGCCTCGCTACGGTACACGCTCGTGGCACGACCCAACAGGCCGCAAACACTCGACCTCGGCACCTTTCCCTGCACAATGGCCACCGTACCCCGCCTCACCTACTTTGACATCAAGGGCCGAGCCCTGCCCATCCGCATGGCGTATCACTATGCCAAGGTACTGCCAGACTGTCAGGCTCTTGACTATCTGCATGCTCCGCACCCATTTCTCATGTCTTGTGCTCGTGCTCCTCCATGTCCGACAACACCCTCTTCTCCGCAACACAGGTGGAATTTGAGGACGTTCGCGTTGGCTTTGCCGACTGGGCCACGGTCAAGCCTACCACCCGTTTTGGCATGCTTCCCGAGCTCGAGCTCCCCTCTGGCGACGTTATTGCGCAGAGCCACGCCATCCTGCGCTATGTCGGTCGTCAAAATGGTCCGTATGCACCACCAACACGATCCTTCTTTGCCCCCTCTGTGGCCCCGCTCGCCACCACACCCTTTGAACTGTGCTGCGGCCTTGCACTGACGGGCAAACCCCCCAAACTTTGCATCTGGATCCACCCAGGACTGTATCCCGAGGATGCGCTGGCCGCAGCCAAGGTGGATGCTGCCATGGGCTTCCACGACGATGTCACCATGAAGATCATGCCAACCCTCTTTATGGCGGTCCGTTGCTTGTGTTTCGTAGCCCACCGCCTGAGCGCCCTGGTGGTTCTTTCCGCCCTTATCCTGCACTGGCTGCTCCGCAGGACAAGGACCTGGAAGCCAAGCTTCGCAAGGAACTCGCTGATGACGTCCTGCCTCCCGTACGCATACTCTACTTTTGTGACCAAATGCCCTGGGTCTCCTTACGTTGTGGCCACGCCTCACCCTCGCTAACGCGGCGTGCCATGGGGATAGATGCTGGCCAAGTTGGACGCCTTGTTTGACAAAGACTACCTGCTCGGCGACACCCTGACCATCGCCGATCTTATGGCTTTCCACATGTACGACTGGTTGACGGACGGCAGCCTGGCTGGCATTCCTGCCCTGATCATGGAGCCCTGCACCAACCTCAAGCGTGTGCACGACCAGATTCAAGCCTTGCCCGAGTTTGAGGGCTTCAACTTTGCCTAAACAGAACGTTGTCCTCGCCAACTGACCCAGTCCTTCAGCTGTGGCCTGGTGCCTCGGCGCAAGTTGCTGGGCCTACTAGATGTGCGCGTGTCTGAAGCCAGCCTTTAGCCCCCCTCGCATCTTAGACTAGCCCTCCACATCATTGAAGAGGAGATTGTCACCATCCGAACGACTAGGTTCGCTGGTGACTCGAGTATGCATCCTCTGCCGCCTATGTTTGTCATCGGGAGCTTCTCCTGAAGCACTTTTTGTGTGGTGGCCCTCGTCGTGAACCCGACTGGTGCACGCCGAGGACAAGCTTGTTATCTGTTGTGCGTGCCTGTGTGTCCTTTTGAGTTTTTGTGACACCGTGGGACGGTGGGACATGCCAGTGTTGCACCAGCTCCCCTTCTTGATTTTGATCTGACCCTCTTTTTTGTTTTTCCCTTTTTCGTCTCCGTTCTTGATAAGCTTTATCCCGTTCCAGCACATTTGGGCGCACCGCAGCGCCGCTTTTTCTTCCGCCTCTGGTGCCGGACCCAATCGAAAACATGCAAACGACACATCTTTGGTATGACAACGAGTTCGGGCAAGGGTACAACTTGATTCACGTCAAAAAGTTTGTTTTGTTTTTGTGTTGTTCTGCTGTGTCGTTGTTCTGTTGTGTTTTATTGTTTTATTGCTCTGTTGCTCTGTTGTTCTGTTGTCTTTTGTTGTTGTATTTTATTGTTCTTGATTACGGTCAGTGACCCCGGTGGCTGTCGTCGGCTCTGGGCACCGGTCGGTCGCAAGCATCGATCTGGAGATGTACCAGGCAGGCTTGGATCAATCCAGCTTGAGTCGGGTGTCACGGGAGCCACTCACGTCTGCCTGCTGACCTGAGCTGAGCGAGACGGGGGCAGGGGAGAAGCAGCGTCTTTCTTACTCATGCCTGTTTGTTTTGGTGGCTCGTTGTGATTCCAGAGCACCACCCCCCTCCCCACCAGACGTCATGGATCCCAAGCATTTGGAACTGTTGCAGTCCCTTGAGGGCTTCAATGAGGTGAGATGTCTTGAAGATGGTTGATCACCGAGGCCCCTGGGCGATCGTGGCCATGTATCTGCTCAACTCACCAACTCACTCATACTCCCGAACCCCACCAGGCCTTCTTCGAGTCGTACGTCGAGCTCGCACCCGATGGTGAATACCTGGAAACCGAGGAAGCCCAGCCAACCTCTGACGACTCTTACCTTGGTGCGTGTCCCCGCTTTGCCCATCAGGCTTTGATCACTATCGCCGTTGCTGTTGTTCTTGTTGTTGTTTCTTGTTGTGTCATCTGCGATGCTTGACGTTTGACGAGCAACTCACTGACCTCCATTTTGTGTGTGTGCTCGATAGCCGTGCAGCCAGATTGGCTTGAGGATCAACACCAACGCCTGCTCGCGCAGGTGCGACTTGGCTCGAATGTTGCAACTCCTTGTTTCACGCGCGCATGTACAAGGGTGACCGCCTTGTTCACATTTCCTTTCCCATTGCAAATCCGACCATGCGTTAGCCCTGGTTTCGTACCAAGTTTAACCGTGCTGACTCGGAGAAGGAGCTCGAAGGGAAGATGATTGGCGCCTTTCTCGTGCGCCCTTCGAGCCAGGCGGGCAACTATGCCATTAGCGTCGTTCGCCCAGGCCCGAAGATTGACCACATGCTCATCCTCCCCTCCTTTGTATGTTACACCCTGACAACTGAAGCCCTTTTCCGATCTCGGTGCTGGCGTCGATGACTCGCGAAATAGGGAGATTTTCTGGGCAAAGGATTCTCGTCGCCAATACATGTCATGCAATCTAGGTGCTGACTGGACTGTCTTTGTCCCTGCCATTGCTCGTAGGCTGGTGCCACCTCTTCCGCGCCCGGCAAGACCCAGTACCGCATTGGCACCTTCTCCACTGATCTTTTCAACACCATTCCCAAGCTGATCGCCTACTACATTGGTTTGTCAATCGGTCGTCCCACGCTCTGGCCCCGCCTCTTGCTTACATGTCTTCTATTTGGGGTCCTTTGGGGTTAACTTCGCGCTGATGGTGTGCACGGGGGTTTGTTTGGTTTTTCTCGCCTGGCTTTGAGCTCACGTGCATATGGCCCACACGCTGCTGTCGTCCCTTTAGCGCACCCTTACTTTGAGAATGAGCGCCTTCTCGGGTTGGTGCAGCCCGAAGAGCAAGAGGGTGGCTTTTACTTTGATGTGCGACCCATGTAAATATGTCTGTCGACGCTCCGGCCCGCTGTGGGCTGTCCCTGGATTTGAACCAGGCACGCTTTTCTCGGAGTTGCAGACTTGAAGAGGGGGGCAGCAAGCCAAGAGCTTTGGCAACCATTTTCCCTCCCCCGCTCTTGTTCTTTGGGCATCGGGCCCACCCTCCCTTGCTTTCGTATTCAGCGGCCGGGGTGGCAGCGCAGCGTGCTGGCGCGCCCTCCAACTCGGTCTTTGCTTGTCGCTTGTTCTGGTGGTTGTGTGCCTGACTTTCCTCTTTGAATGCCAGTGCCATCTCGCTGCCAATCGATACTCCCAAGCTCAAACCCCCCTTGCTTGTCCTTTTTCATCGTTTTTCCAAACCGCATCCGATCAATCTCTCCCTCTTCCTCTCTCCTCCCTCTCACTCTCCCCTTGCCTTTGCTGTTCATGCCTTTCTCTTTCTTTCTCTCTCCAATTCATCTCTCTCCCTCTCTTCCTTTCTTCCCAGTGTTTCTTGTGGCAGCCGCCCCCTCTTACGTCTACCTCTTGTGTGTCTCTCTCTTTATTGATCCTTCCTCTCTCTCTCTCTCTCTCTCTCTCTCTCTCTCTCTCTCTCTCAATGTCTACATGTGTGTGTGTGCTTTACATGTTTAACTTTGTGTGATGCTCCATCTCTCTCTCTCTCTCTCTGAGTCCAAGCTCAACGGCATTTTCTACTCTCTGTTGAGAGAGAGAGAGACACACACACACCCATCCTGCGAGTTGCACCGCCGAGCTTGATTGGTAGATTGATGGGCAAGATGATCAAGTTTGTGGCGATATGGCTAGTGGCGTTTGCTGCGCCGTGTGCTGCACTATGGGCTGACGGTTTGGGCAGAGCGGCGGCGGCCGCCGCAACTGCTCAGCCTCGAGCGCGAGATGAGAGCAACCCGCTCCCACCGATCGTACTCATTCCCGGCTTGACTTCGTCCAACATCTCTTACACTCTCTATGACGCGCCTAACATCGTGCCAGGCTGTCCCAGCACCGTCAGCACGTGCGTCGTTGCTGCCACGCACCTGCTCTCCCCCTGCCGCCCCGTCGCCCAGTCCTGACCAGTTGTCGGCCCCGTGGCATCCGTAGGCCCACGCCCATGTGGCCGACAGATCAAGTCCGCTTCAACACCAGCCGGGATTTGGTCTGCTGGTTCGAAAACCTGGCCACCATCTACAATCCGCTCAATCAACAGTTTGGCCCGCGCCTGGTATGACCGATTCCACGCGCATGAGGACACCAGCGCACGCTAGGTGCATTACGAACTCAGTTCAGGAGGTGCCCACTCACGTCTAGCTGCATGTCTCGGTGCGGTCCACTAGGGAGAGGACAGCATGGTCGTCAACTTTGGCGCCTTCAACTCGACTGAGATTGGTTTTTTGCGCGCCTCCTACGAAGCCCAGGGTCTGTTTGCACTCCGCGCATGTGTGCGCAATGTGGAACATCACCTGGACCATCAACGCATGCTCACGCCCACTGGCTCCCGTCGGTTATGCAGGCTATTTTGAGGGAGAAAACATTTGGATGGCACCTTTTGATTGGCGCTTCCCCGTTCATGCTCTGCCTCGGCTATTCCCGCGCTTAAAAAACCTGGTCAGTCAGACTCGACGAGCGCACTCACCCTCTGCTCGCGGGCCCCTTTCGCGCCCACGCGTTAAACTGAGACCTTGGCCCGTCGTGCTCGCATCACTCAGGTTGAGCACGCCTACAACCAGTCGGGTGGACGCAAGGTGACCCTCATATCCGTATCTTGGGGGCCACAAGCTACCCTCGCCTTCTTGCACCGCATGACTCAAAGCTGGAAAGACAAGTACCTGAGCATGTAAGTGATCTCGGAACCTCCACGCCTTGGTGCTTCCGTGCACATGCACGAGAGAAAAACCAAAAGAAAATGGTTCAGTTTCTGAAAACTCGTCGCTTGGTCGTAGTGGTGATGTTGCTAGTGTTGTTATCGCGCTGATGGCTGCCCTCGACCAGATCTCATCATGACCCGGCCTAATTTGCTCTGTCCTCTGCTTTTTGTTCGCAAGGTTTATTGCCGAGTCGCCGCTTTGGTCAGGCTCGCCTCTGAGTCTTCTGACCATGACCAGCGGTTACGAGGCGCCCGGTGTTCCGAACGCGCGCTTATTCATGCGAGAAGTCGCAACTCTCGTGCATGTCATTATGGACATTTTTCCTCGTGCCGGAACCTCAAACACCACCTTTACACGCGAAGAAGTCATCATCGAGACGCCCACTCGCAATTACACGGCCTTTGACGCAGAGGCGCTACTCGAGGACCTGGGCTATGGCTATAAGCTTCCAGCGCTGCGCAACATTCAGGTATGGACACGTGCAGATTGCTGCTGAACCGTCAATTGGCATCTTTTTGGGGTTCATACCAAGCAATCTCATCGTCCACTTTTTGTTGATGTTCTCGCACCAGAACAACTCGGATCTGGGTGAGCTGCTGGATCCGGGTGTGGATACGTTCATTCAGTACGGCTACGACATTCCGACGCCTGGTATGAACATCTTGCAAAGACGAGAAGAGAGAGATGCGCTTTTTTTGGAAGCTCGCTGTGGCGTCGCGACTGGTTGATACTGTCGTGGTGGGCTGCATGATCGCGCGACAGGTTACTTCAAATTCAACGTGAGCCTGCAGAAAAACGCTAGCTTTGTGCCTCCTCCCCCTGTGGAGACGCGCAATGTGCCAGAGACTGGTGACTCCTTTGTTCCCGTGCGCAGTGCTTTGCGTGCTGTAGAGCTTTGGCGGCTGCCCATGCAAGAGGTCTGTCTGGTCTCTCTTTTCGTGCCTCTCTTCCCTCGCCCCCTCCCTCTGCTCTTGCTTCCCTCTGTCCGTGGCCTTGTTCTGGTTTGGAAGAGGTGGTGAAAAGTGACTAAGCTTGATGATGAACATGACGTCGCTAGGCTGGGCGTAAGCTCTACTTGATGGGTACGCAGTACCAGCAGCATGGCGTCTGCTTCTTCCAAGGCTATGATTCGTGCTTTGATCAGATGCTGAGGTAACGTACTGCCTTTTGAGCAAGCTCGGACACTGCTCTCCAACTCGCTCGGATGCACCCCCGCTTGTTTTCTGGCTACGACTGTCTGGGCTTACGTGCGCGTGCTCGTGACTCGTTGTGTAGTTTGGTGGTCAATGGCACCATTCCTGTCAACGCGACTCGCGTCGCATAGACTGTTGGAGTGTTCTTCATTTGTCTGTGCTTGACAGTGACGTGCTCGTGCTGTGCTCGTGATTCAACTAACACTCGTGTGCACAGCTTGTATAATCTGAAAATTCGAATTGAAAGGCGCACAGCGGCCACTGTACAAAAGAACCTGGTGACAACGTGTTTCATCCTTCTCGCTCAGCGGAGAGGGGCCGAGTGGTCGGCCCAAAAAGACAGCGGTCCGAGGAGGCGTGCTTGATCCTCAGTCAGAATCGCTGCTGGAGCCACTTGACTCCTCGGCGGCCAGCGCCATGATTTTACTCCGCGATTGAGCTGGGGCTGCGTGGGTCGCAGCAGGGCTGGGACCTTGTGTGGCACTGGATTTGGAGTGGGAGCGCTTCAGCGCAAGGCGTTGACGAAGAGCCGCGCCATCTGCACCCACCGCACGGGTTTGCGCAGGTTCGGCGGGCGATGTGGTAGCTGGTGATGTACCATGGGGTGTGGTGGTGCTACGAGCACTTGACATGGCGGCAGCAGAGGGGGTGGTGGCAGCTGGTGCCATGGCTTTTTGGGGAGCGCTGCGTAGCTTTTTGACGGCCATGACCTCACGCACGGGCAGGACCATGGCCTTCTTGGTCTGGCGATCAATGCGGATCAAATATTGCTGCGGCAACGTGGATGGGATGCACAGAGACAATGGACGTTGGTGAGTTGAGGCTCGAGGTGCAGGGGACCACGAACTCTGAAAGGTGCAAGTGCTTACTCGGTCGGCAGGACGAGCCGTGCCGTGAAAGCTGACGGGGTCGTTGGCCGTGGCGGCGGTGCGTGCCAACTTGATGAGCACGTTGTCGCCTGCCAGTCGCTGTAGTGTGCCCGTGTGGCCGATGTTTCGAGCGCGATTCTCGTCTGCAATGTTCGCCAGCAGCGGACCCGTCAGAGCGGTCAACGAGTCTGACAGCACACGGGACCGACCAACACGAGGTAGAGAGGCCGCAGGGCACAGGCGCTTGACCCAGCCACCCGATACTCACACGTGACAATAGTATGTGCGGCATCTTCCGTGTTGCTGGCAGCTGGTGTTGCCATGACGTCTCTGCGGGAAAGCGCGCGCACCAGCACTTCAACGCCAGGGTCTCTCCCCCTTATCCCACCCCCGTGACAGTCGCCAGTGGTCCTGGCCTCCCCCAGGCGTGCACTCGCACACGCGACCACTGGCCACCACTGCTCCAGCCCCCTCCCCCTGCCTTGCGCAGTCTGACAAGCGGGCAGACGAGCACGAAACCTTCCAAGCGACCACACAGACGACCCGCGCCAGACGACGTCACCGAGCCGCCAAAGGAAAATGGTCACACGTCAAGTCACAGAGAGAGAGAGACAGAGAGACAGAGAGACAGAGACAGAGAGACAGACAGACAGACAGAGAGAGACAGAGACAGAGAGAGACAGAGAGATATAGAGAGACAGAGGAAATCAGAGAGAGAGAGAGATGAATTGGTTCAAGAGACAGAAAATCAGAGAGTTTGACTTTTTCGGCTGCTTTTTATCTTAGGGATGCGGGGGATTGTGGCAGTGGGTGGATGTTGTGGTGAATGGGAGGGGAGCACGACCAATTGTAAAAGATAAACATCATAGGCGTACATGGCTGGCTGGCTGGTTGTACCGAGTAGCAGGACGCAACACACAGATCAATGAGTTTCAGAGAGAGAGAGAGAGAGAGAGAGAGAAATAAAAAAAAAGGGCAGGAAATTAAGGAAAAATTCGATTAAAATTGCAGCACACACGGGCACAGCACACACACACACACACACACACACACACACACACTGCGGGCACGCAAGCAACACAGCGGCCAGTCGGGGCGGTCAACAAAGGGCCAGCCGTGTGTAGCCGAAAGGTGACAGGGCTGATACGAAGCGTTGGTCGCCAGGTCGAGCTGTACGCCATGGCGGCGCAGCGCTCTGGATCGGAAGTTTCAGTCGAATGTGCAGAACAGAGGGCGTCCGTCGCATCCCTGCCATTTGGCGGGTCATTGCAAGCTGCCGGAGAGAAGAAAAAACACACCGGCGGCGATCAGCACGCCGCGCAAACCGAGCAGTAGACCAGCGAGGGCGGCTATAGCCACCATGACGGGCTCCACGACGACGCCACCGATGGCAAAGGGCTAAACGCGACGCGAGCATGCCAAAATGAGGCGGGGAGCCAAGCGAGGAGGTCATTCGGGGTTGATCAAAAGCTCCTGTGGCAATCGTCCCGAGGACAGGCAAGAGCCTCTGATGGTCCAAATGCCATTGCGTGTCCCAGGACCAGACAGGCATCCATACCTGGAGATAGGCTTTGAGGCGTTCGTTGATGTCACCCAGGCTGGAGCCAGGTCGGAGCCATGCAGGCTGATTGGCACCTAAGTGGAACATGTCCGTGAGCACCAGGTCAATGGGGGTGCACCATGTCCACAGAGAGAGAGAGAGAGAGAGAGAGAGAGAGAGAGAGAGGCGCCGGGCGAGGGCCATCGTTGTAAACGGCCGACCTACCAGGGGCAGGTGCTGTTGGTCGGGTGTGCGGTGTACGATTGCCTGCAAGGGGTCTAGTCAAGACCAGCTTTACACATGAGTCGGCTAGAGGCACATGGTGTTCCAAGTTGGGCGGGGCAAGCTTGGGCGCGCCGCATCATGTTCATCGCTGGACCAACCTGGTTCCAGTGCCCAAGCCTCCACGGCCAGCGGCAGCAGGGCCGGAGGAGAAGGACGAGGAGGAGGCGGCCCCATTTCCAGTCCCGGACCCAGCCCGCATACGCTGGGCCCTGGGATCATCATCCGCAACCAGCTCTCCACCAATGACCACCACCATCTTCTTGATCCCCTCGACCTCGTCCCAGCGTTGCTCGTCGTTTTGCGTTTTTTTTTTAATTTTTTCCGAGTCAGCAGCCGACATCAAATTGCTGACAATGTATTGTCTGACATATGGAGGCGTTGATGCGGGTACTTTTCCTCAACCAGCGGGTTGATGCAGATTTACTAATGTACCACGGGTTGAGTAATGCAGTACTGATGTAAGTTGTTGCAGTAGAAGAACCTTTGATTGGTTGGAGGGAAATACGTAATCATTTCACACTTTCAATATAGACAAAGTCTATCAAAAGATACACTATAAGCACATTCCACTGAAGAGAAGAGAAGAGAAGAGAGGAGAGAGAGAGAAGAGAAGAGAGAGAGAGAGAACTCA